ATTACAAATAACATATTCATTTTGTTTGGTTTGAGTTTTCATTGGTTTGAGTTTTCTGAAAACCCTTTTCAAAAAATTCTAGTTTTTGTTTTTCGTATTTTTTTTATTTTTATTGAATTTTTTTAATATTTTAAGATTTTTTTTTTTAAATTTTTAGACACACCTAACATAATATACTATTAAAAAGTATTAATTTTTGAAAAAATCTTAAAAAATTCACTAAAACCAAAAATATAAAAAAATACAAAAATCAATACATTTTTTGTATTTTTAAGTATTTATTAATTTTTAAAATATTTTTTTCAAAAAAATATTTTATTTTTTTTAGATACATCATGTATCTAAAAAAGTAAAAAAAAAAGCTCAAAATTTTAAAAATATTCACTAAAAAAAAAACTATTTTTCAAAAAACTTAATTCAAAAAACTCAAACCAAACACAGTGATTGTTTTTTTTTTTTTTTGGTTTATATTTTTAAAGTTCATCGTAAAATTTATATAAAATATTTTTGTAAATATTTTTAATGTTTTTAAGAAGTGCCCCCTTTGATTTATTTTCTTGGCTCCGCCACTGCTGAATCGCATTGTTTTGTGCATTCGCCTGCCTCAGCACTGTTTGTGCATTAACCTTACATAGCACTGTTTTGCATTAAACTTGTATAGCACTATTTTGGTGCATTCATTCACCCACACTATTTTGTATACCTCACCCACACGGTCTTGTGCACTCACAGGGTCTAGGAGACCTTAATCTCTAAAGTGGCAATTCCTTTGGTGTTTATCGTGACCAAACGACTTCAGACGGTCTGGTATAGCCACCTGATTGTGTTTGTAGTTGAGTTCTTAGGAGACCAATGAGATGGTAGGAACTCGAGTTCAACAGTCGAGGCCTAGAATGCAAAAGTTTAGAATTTTTGAGACTAAAGTCTGGTTTGAATACCCTGGGGTGTATCCTCGGCTAGAAATCTGTATTGACAGCCCCATAGGTTGAGGTAGCTTGTATGCACCTCAATTCTGGATAGTGAACCTACCTAGTCTGTCACCCTGTTGGAGAATAGGGAAAGTTACAAAACATAGCTAGGGAGAAAAGTAGTACCTATGTGTTTGGAAGCACAAGATGAAGAAAGAAGAAGAGGAAGATCCCAGTAGCAAAAGGTGAGTCATTACCAATTGCCCCTGCCAGTACTTCTAAAGCACTACTTCATAACTGCTATATCACATTTATTATCTATTACCTCTATCACATTGGCATATAGAATATTTCCTGCATCTACTGCATTATCCATACATCGATTACATCTATACCGTTTTATTGCCTGCACCTTTCCATGTTTAGCTTAGTTTGCATGTGCTTATGCCTTTCCCTTGTTGAACATGGTTCTGTCATGTGTAAGTACTCATGCTGCACTGAGGCCAGTATTAGGGGTGTCAGCACCTTTTCTGTGTTGGATGTGGTCTGTTTTGTGCCTATACCTTTTCTAGGTAAGACGTAGTTCAACTTGCGCCCCTTGTTCATTGCATCCATTGCATCATACTCTATCTTGTTGATCCATCTTTTTCTTTTAACACGTTTAGAGGATCATTATTATCCCATTGCATTGTTATTTCCAGTTTATCTTTCCCTAGTAGATCATTTTCTCACTTATATCATACCACCTAATTACTTGTACTCTTCTACGAAAACATAGTTCTACATGTGCCCGCACCCCTTTCACGTTGAAACATGGTTCTGTTATGTGTACATCCGTGTTGCACTAAGGCCAGTATTGAGAATGTAGGCACTTAGCCTGTGTTAGGGTCGTTTGGCTATGCCCACTCTTTTCTATATAAAACGTAGTTTTGATTTGTATCTCCATTCCTTTATGATGTTTATGTGGTAGGCACTGTTTGTGGTTTGATTATTTTGTTACATTGTGTACCATTTTGCATTTTGCCTGAACTACGCTGGTTTTGATTCCTCGCAAAGGGATACTAAGGCAACCCTCGGTTCAACCAATTATATCTGCATTTTTTTTGTTTGCCCAAGTCTTACGGCCTCGTCAATGGGTCGTGTTCGAGTTTTGACATTTCTCACATCATTTCATGACTTCGAGCTTTGCAAAGAGGGGCAACTGTGATACCCCATTTTTTGACCGCCCCTAAGACTTGGGCATCTCAGGTTGATCACTCGATGATGAAAATATACGTTGTACAAACATTCAATTTCTTCAGCAAGAAGAGCTTCTAATCCAAAACCATACACCCCATTTTTGAACAAAACTATTTTAGACCGAAAACTATTTTAGAACTCAAACTTTCTTTTTTTCCAAAATATTTTTCCAAATGTTTCTACGGAGTTTTGAGGCTCCCATTTCGTTCAAAATATTGCACTTTGGTTTAATCGAGTAAAAGACAAAGTGGAGAATGATGGAAGGGAGGTGACTTCTTTTGAAAAATCTTTAAAAGAATCTTATTATAGGTTGGAAGTTGAAGGAAAAGGAGGGGTAAAGAAAGAAACTAGTTGGAGAAGGTTGAGCATTAAACCATTAGAGGAAATGAGTAAGCCTTCACTAAATTAGGCATATCTCTTTGTTAAACATAGGAATTTTAGGATGTTGAGTCCACCACCAGTTTGAAATTATACTCCCGTGGTTTCAAATTTATACTCAAGTAACGACCTAGAACGAGAGTCCAATGAGGGAGATATAACCCAATTTGAATTTGGACCTGAGAGTAGGATTTTTCTGTGGCCGGCTGGCCACATTTTTGTGGACGGCTATACAATAAAGTGTTACGGTTGCCAGTTAGAATTTCAGTCCATTTTTGAGGGATTGGACGCACTAGTGGCCTGCCGGCTACAAATGGTGGTGACGGTCGTACACTATTGTGGCCGGCCGGTCACGTTGTGCCAAAATATTCAGGTATTTTCTGCTAGCTGTGCCAGGTTGTTTTCCCATAAGTGCATGCAATACACCAGCTATCTCTATATGGATATTTCCGGACCTAGTCACATATGTTTCTATATATAGGGGACTTTCCTCTTGGTTTGAGGTTACAAAAAATTCCAAAAGCCCCAAAACTGAAATTCTTTCCTCTCTCTCTCTCTCTCTCTCTTAATCTTTCACAACACACACCACACACCTTACCAAAAACATTTCCTAAACCAATATTCTGAACTCTTCTTGCTGAAGATTACTGAATCCAAATTTTAGCCTTAGGAGTGAGCAAGGCCTTGTGTGATTTGTGAAACAAAGAGTTATCTCTCTTCAAGAGGTATGGACTTCTACCTTCTTTACACAACTTCTCATCCATCTTTTCTTTCTATTTTTGTATTTTTTTAACAACTATTTTTATGGGCCAAAACTTGTGAACTTAGTGCTATCTAAGGGAGGTTAACCCAGCCTTCCTTTAAAACCCTTGTTTTCCCAAGCTTTTGCCAGGTTGTGTTTTCGCATATCTTCATCAATTTTTTTTGACTTTTTTACCACTGGAATTCTAGAAGGTTTTTTCAGAGGCCTAAAATGTGGTTTTGGAGAGTTCCAAAAAATGGAGGGCGTTAACCTCCCCTCCTTTGGCTTGTTCGCTAGCTTATTGCTTCATTATTTTAGTTTGCTTTGTCGATGTTTTCAACCTTATTTGGTGCTTGTTTTTTAAGCCCCCCCCTATTTTCTATGGAAAGCTGTTTTTTAAAGTTTTTTGGGTTTCATGTGCATTTAATGCTTTAGTATAGATTCTTGTTAGTGTAATGGTCCTCATAGGTTTGGTGGTTTAGGCCTTGGCCCACCAACTCTATTTGAGTTTGATAGCATTTATTTCTTAGCATTAATCACCTCCTGCAACCTCCACTCATGTTCTTGCTTTTTATATGTTTTGAAGAGTCGTTTTCAACGATTTGTGTTGTTTAGCTGAGATAAAAGATCCATTTGCTTAATGGTTTAATGTCTTCGGAGCGTTCATTACCAATGGAATACATCTCTCTCATTTGCCAACAAACCCTTTGTTTTGGACACTTCTCTCCATAGTGGACTTTACCTAATCATTTTGGACAAAATGGACTAACGAATGGAAAGGTAATTAAAAAGAGGTATTAAAAATAAATTGGAACTTCAAAGAAGGTTGCAAGGATAAGAAAATGGTTTGGGGTTCACTTGGATATTAATTGAACCCCTTGAGTCTTGAAGCCATTTCATACTCACTAGTGATAAAGTGTTCAAGATTCAAATTCAACCACTTCCCTTGATCAAATCCATGATAGGAGGAAGGTTTTACGAGTCTTCCATTGGGCCATTTAAAAAAAAAAAAAACACTCCAAAACTTAGGGGGGGCACGTGACCCCCCTGAGCCCTCCTTCCCTCCGCCCCTGGATTCAGGGTACACAAAACAGTGCGATACAGGCACAGGCACTATAAGAAATAACACTTTTAGCGACCAACTTTTTGGTCACAGAAAGTTCATATCTGGTCGCTAATAGGTTTTAGCGACCAAAAAAAAGTTTGTCGTAATTTAGTCGCCAAAAGCTCGTCACAAAACGTTTTTAGCGACCAGAAGTTAAGTTGGTCACGGAAAGTTCTAATCTGCGACGACATATTTTGGTCGTGAAAAGGATTTTAATTTGTCAAAAGTTGATAATTTTGCAACCAAAAAATTTAGTCGCCAAAAATTAACATTTGTGACCACCTATTTTGGTCACTGAAAATTGTCATTTGCAACAACCTATTTTGGTCGCCGAAAGTTAACATTTGCGACCACCTATTTTGGTTACTGAAAGGGTTTAAATTTGTTGAAAGTCCAAATTCGTGACTATTTATTTATTTAGTCACTGAAAGTCTATGCTTGGTCACCAATAGTTACTCTTGGAACCTTCTCAAACACCTACTGTGACAAATTTTATTGGTCGCAAAAGAGTTTTCAATTTAAAAATTTTAATTTTTTAAATCTAATGCTATTTTTTTTAATACCTATAATACATTTGCAATTAACGCATAATTCATGTCCATCAAATCAATTTCAACATACCAATCCATCAAGAATATAGAGGATACTTTAGCTATAGTTAGTTAAATCAGCCTACAAAATAGGGAAGGACAAAAGTGGGTTGCCTTCAATCACACAAAAACATTTACAAATATCGCACCAACACAAAAACCACCAACAACATACAGATTTCCAAAAAAGGTTGTATTGTATGTAAGCCATTGCACATTTAACAGACAACAAATCCTCAAAAACAAAACAATAGTTGAAGTCTCCCTTTGATGATGGTACAAAATTCTTGGTCAGCCTTACATGCACTGGAATAAAAAATAGCTACTGGATCTTTTGAAGCATTTCCAGTGTCTTGACATTTTGTCATGCCTGTTTTGTTCTGGCAATATATGTTCACTAACAAGAGAAATAATAGAAGTTACTATGTAAACTTGGAAATTGTCACATATAAAATTACTATCATCAACAAGGTCTGGAATATGAGATGCCCAATGGACTGGAAACTAAAACAACCATTATGAACAATAAAATAGCGTCAACATCACTTCAGCATTATCATTCGAGTAGCAATCTGAAAGAATATGGTTATAACCAAAAAGTAGAATTTTCCCAATGTCAATTCTAATGGGAGTTCTTACACTTAGGATTGGATTCTTATAGTTATTTCCTAGTAAAATTAGGATTTCCCTACCATTATAAATTTAGTTATGATCCTCTTGACTAAGTAGAAATTAACTCAACCTACCAATTACATTCCCACTAAAATTAATCAACATTTGAAAAATATAGAACAAGTTAAGCTTGCAAAAATGCATTAAGTGTGGGTATATATATGTATGTATTCAGATCTTTATTAGTCTTATGATAATTGGATTAAACTATCACGGAGCAATGCTCCCGACCATTATAAATTTGGTTATGATCCTCTTGACTAAGTAAAAATTAACTCAACTTACCAATTACATTCCCACTAAAATTAATCAACATTTGAAAACTATCAAACGAATTAAGCTTGCAAAAATGCATTAAGTGTGGGTATATATGTATGTATTCAGATCTTTATTAGTCTTACGATAATTGGATTAAACTATCACGGAGCAATGGTATGAAAAGGATAGAACGAGTTAAGCTTGCAAAAACGCATTCAAACCATGCACTAGCAAGTGTGGGTACCATCTCCATATGAATTTAGAAATGTATCAAGGTTGTGGAAAGAAATAATCCTACTTGCCTCATCTAGTCTTGCTTTGGTTAACTTCTATCTGACCAATTTTAGGATTAAAGTTGGGGATGGCAGGAGGATTCAAATGAAAAAGAGGACTCAAGTTGTTTGGCCTATCAAATGAAAAAGAGGACTCACAGAAAAATACCAAGAAAAACAATGTGTGGTCCAGATTTATTCTAAGTGTGGATCCCACCATATAAGTGTTGAATGTGGACCACAAATTTTTTCTTGGTATTTTTCTACGTCTACGTTCTTGAACCCTACCTTTAAGTAGTTATAGTTTCAGAAAAAGAAAAACCCAAAAAAATAAATAAAATAAATAATAAATAAATAAAATTTCCTAGTTCTATTTAAAAATGGATAATGAGTAGATTATATTTACACCTGGCTGAACAACGTGCTGTAAAGTGCCATGAGACTATTATGTCCAACAGCTGCACAAGCCTTTCCAGCAAGTTCAACTTGTGGTTTTTGGAGATCAGCAAAACTGAAAGGAAATATGGATTTAAATTCATATTTAAATAATAAATCTTAAAAAATGCCAAAATGAATGCAACACCAATACCCATCTCTGCAAACATTTCAAGGATTTAAAACTTTGATGATTTCACAAACTACTATGATCATTATAAGCATGCCAGAGAAGAAAGTAGAGGAACATATCTATGCAGCGCCATGTTATTAAATAATTTCAGATGAAAAAGCATTTAAGAATAACTCCTATTCGCCAAAGAATTATAATGATTAGAAATATATAGTTATTGATTCATCATATAAAATTGAATTGAGATACTTCTATACAAAAAGGTATAATATGAAAGCACATCACAAAACAAAACTATGAGAACCTGCTGTTGATTAATCTCCTATGTTTAAGCCTTTGGCGGCCAGCTTTAACAGCACCTGAACTCACTAAAATTATATCAAAGCCTTGTGAATTCAGTTCTTCAAGCTATAGGCATAAAATTTAGAACATATTAATTAGCACCATTGACATAATAGGCGTAGAATCAAATCAAAACTATTGTTTCGAATTAGAATTTGAAAAGGAAAAGTTGCTGTTTCGGACATGGTAATGCAACAAGATTAGAAAAGAAATGATCATATGCTTATAGATAAATTTCATAACAAGTTCAACATATCTATACCTGCTCAAAAATACCACCAACTCTGCCCACTGCCAATCTTTCATCGTCCCTTGTAACGACAGCTGTCCCTACCTGAAGTAATTATAAAATTTGAAAACTGTTCACATTGATCATAACAAGAATTCCAAAAACACAAGTGTCTCCTTAATAGGAAAAATATATATTTCAAAAATAGTAAAACTAATCACATTCATTCGTTTTACTCGGACAAAGATTCTGCCATGCAATCACTAGCAGAATACACTATCAAACTAATTCTTAAATTTTAACATAGAATAACTAAGAGTCAAATCGAGACTACTCAATAAATTAAAATGAAAATTTGTCTGAGGTGCCAAGAAAAAGGGCCATAACTCCTTCTAGAGGCTAAAAAATACAAATTAAACAAAAAATAAAAACTCAAATTATATTCTAAACTTCAGTTACCTTGCTCAAAAATATAATTAGCCGTTCAAACTTCAGGTAAATAGTTGAATTTAGGCCATAAGGAAGTGCTAGTTGCAATTCTAAAATCTAAAAATGAGATTAAAAAAAATGAGATTAAGCTCTGGCAATAAAAAAAAATACCCACTTGCTTGTTAAAAACATATAAAAATAAAAAAAAATTCTAGCAACCTGTAAAATTATTTCCACAAATTTGAGTGGCACAAAAACAAAATACTGTTCTGCAGCCCCAAAAACATAAATCATTTTTCATAGAATAAAACATAAATCAAGCACAAGAACATATGATTCAACTATCATAAACATGTTCTGTTAGCTTAAAATTTCCATAATCAACACAAAATATAAGATTAAACTATTTGATTCAAAACCCTAATTCTCATCTAAATGTATTTCAAAAATCACTTGCAAACTCATTTTTTTTAATTATTTTTTCTTATGAAATAGAAAGTACCACATATCTAACTATAGTGATATATTGAAAAGAATCAAAGAAACTCTTACCTCAAACTATGAAGAACAAATCTGAAAATGCAAAGCTTGCCGGATCAAGAATCCGAGACTATCATTGCGAAGAGTGCAACGAGCTCTCCAACTTCCCTTTACAAAAATTGTGCAAAATCTCAAAACTCCCACTCTAAGCTCAAAGCTTGAGCAATAACAGTAAAACTTTAAGAGAGAGAAAGAAAGAGCCGAGAGAGAGAAAGAGCCGAGAGAGATGGCTCAAAGGAAGAAATGAAAGACAAAATAAAGTGAAGGGAAATTTGAGAGAGAGAGAGAGGGGGGGAGCCACGTGGCTTGCTCCTCTCCATTTATTTATATATCTATATATATATGTATAGATATGTATTCATCTATATATACATTAATTAAAGCATATGTACATTACAATAATTTGGGCCAACATAATTTTTAGGGTAAAAAATAAATACGAATTGCCCCCTATAATTTAGAAAATTACAAATATTTCTGTGTCAGAAATTTTCATTTAACAGAATTAATTGAAAAAAGTAAAATTTCTAACTGTTCATCTATACAATAATAAAATTATCTAAATTATTAATTGAAATAAAATTTTAATATTGTTAAAAACTGTTAATTAGCTTGATAATTTATTAATAAGAGAACTATCTTTTATGAAATTAAAAATCTTAAAAGATATAATATAATTTTTAGAATTATATGAGATAATTTATAATTTAAGTAAAACACAGCTGTGCTTATAATTTATCCTATTTGTTTTGAAATAATAAAATGTGAGGGAGCAGAACGTGTAGGGCAGTTGAGATTTAATAATTTTTTTTTAAATATATAATTTACAGGTGAGAAAAGCTTTAAGAGCTTCACTTAACAGGTTCTGTTGCAAGATTTTACTTTGATTTCCTATTTCTTTTCTTGACTGACTGAAAAATACCCAATTGTGTCTTTACACAAATATGGTGAGGTTCAAGAAAAACCCATATATTACATCAAATTGTATATAGTTCTCTTTAATCTGCATGGCCTATTACGCAATTTGATGAAGTTACACAAAAACCCATTAAAAATTCACAGCAAGAACCTGACACACAACCTTCAAAGTCTTCAAAAAGTTTCAAAACAACAAATCCACAGAAGAACAGAACCACAATAACTGATGCCATTAACAAAACTCAGAGAAAAATGCACAAAACCCAATACCATAAAAACTAAAATTGAATCAAATAATTCAAAGAAAATGCAAAGAACTCGCCAAATGTCCACAATTCAAAGTGGTGGGAAAAGGGAATGAATACCTTGGAAGAAGGCTCAAAGATAGACCCAAAAATTCCAAAAGATGATGAAGCAGAGGACTCCTTGGAACTGAAAAGATCAGAAGTGAATGAGGAAGATGAAGGAGAACCCATTTGCTTATTCGCGTCCATATTTCTCTATCTTCATCTCTCTCTCTCTCTCTCTCTCTAACTCTCTTTGTATACCCACAAATGAGAGTAATGGAAGAGAGAGAGTCAAATATGTAGAACAACCACCATCAAAGAACACCCAGAAGGAACGATATATATAAATACTATTTCTTGATTCAAGGACTAACTTCATCATCAGAGTACTCCCGGTCGGCAACCCCGATTGGGTGGCACCGACTATATTCCTCATTACAGATCTACAGGGGTAAAGCTCTTCTCTTCGTTGGATCTCTACAACATCCATGTGAGAGGATATTTCATGGTCTCACAATATTAATTGTAGATTTTAAGAAATGACATAATATAAGCTGAATAAGAACATATTTAGTACATACCTCATGTATCAATAATTTGGTAACAAAACGTCTTTGTAGACTACATTGCGGGTATATACTCCTTCTTCATTATTAACTGAACCCTTTTTAACCAAGACTTTCGTTGTTTGATCTGACACTCCTCGAGATAAAGCAACATATAGTTGATTTTTGAACATATCATGATCGGGAAGGTAAATTCCCACATGTGGAATTGTTTGACCTTGTGATTTATTTATCGTCAAAGTAAAACTAAGGCGAACTGGAAATTGTGTGTGAGTCATTTCAAATGGAAGTTTTAAGTTTTCCGGAGCCTTTAATGGAATGCGATGTAGGAAAACTCTCGTGCCTTTGAAATGTCCTGTTAAAATCTCTGAATCTATGAAATTATCGTTCAAAGCTCGACACAGTAGCCTTGTGCCATTGCACAAACCAGAAGAAGGGTCAAGATTCCTCAAAAGCATAATTGGGGCTCCAACTTTCAAATGCAATGCATGTGGGGGCATTCCTCCTGGTGAAATGGAATTTAAAAACTCTTGTTGATACAAATTTTGGGTATCATTTTCAACTTTATCAAATGAGTGGTACACTCTTGATTCTCCTGGAAATCTCTGAATGATTTTCTCATTGAGCTTGTCGACATCTTCATTGTGAGGAGTTATTATGCCCCTACTAACCATATACTCGGCGTCAAAAGAATGGTTTATGATATCAGGATAAATTTCTTCTAATAGTTGAACTATTGATTCTTCGCCATTCCATGGTATTGCCATCGATGTTGGTACTTTGATCATTTCATCTATAATGGTAGGTTGTACACCATTTCCAACAGATAAAAGAAATTCACCAAACTGTTGGTCATTTATAGAGCGCATGTTTTGCTTTAAACGAAGTATTTGAATGTGACTCCAAAGAGGTGATTTGACTATCGATGCAGTAATAGTTTCAGCTTTTGTACCTTTAGGAACAATTGGAAGTACTTGTCGAAAATCACCACCAAACACCATAATTTTGCCACCAAATGGATAATCAACACCGGTGATGTCTATGAGTGTTCGATTCAAGGCTTCAAAAGCATAACGATTTGTCATTGTAGCTTCATTCCAAATGATGACCGTTGCACGTCTAATCAGTTCTGCTAAATCTAATTGTTTAGTAATGGAACACACGGACGAAGCCTCTGGATTTAAGGGGATCTTGAATCTTGAATGGGCTGTCCTTCCACCAGGTAAAAGTGTAGCTGCAATTCCAGAAGTTGCTATTGCAATGGCAATTCTCCCTTGACTTCTCACTGAGGCCAATATGTCTTTCCAGTTCCTCCTGGGCCATCCACAAAGAAGATTACACCAGTATTGCATTTCACAGCCTGCATGATTGAATTGAATGCTAAGTGTTGATCACTATTTAATGTGGCAATAGAATTTAAGTCTTCCCGAGGAGTTACAATGGAAAACTCATCTTGTATGACCTTTGGAACTGTTGAATTATCATCCAAATTTATTGTCATCTCAGGCAAATCGTATTCTGATATGTTCTTATTATGCTGTAGTAGGAGACGGTTTATATCTTGTAGGGTTTTGTTAAGGATATACATATTATTCATACTGTTTGAAGATATGTAATCTTCAATCAAGTAAGGATAAATTTCATCCCACAAACTTCGCACCCCTGTTGGTACACAGTAAACCAAAATTGTAACGAACAATCTCCTTAAAGCCAATGGCATGTGCATGGTTGCAGCTTTTAACAAACATTGTCGTATGCTATCATCATGCTCTAACAAACCATGATGTTCAGCTGCTTGTTTAAAAGTTGGGTACGCAATTCCATTAACCATTAACAAATAATCGAATGATTTTGGTCCTCGGATATGATTGAGTAAAATTCTCAAGTAAAATCTCTCCCCTTCTGATGGCGAAACTGTGTAAATTCTACCAATTACTCTTTGATGGTTCAATCTCAACTACCAAATCTTTGTGCTATTGCACCATCTATAGTGTTGCGGTATCTCTCGATATAAGTATCGATTTGCAGTTTCATCATCAACATTTAATTGAAAGAATTGGGTAAGCATTGTTCTGGAATAATACTCATCGCCTAAAACATTTGTGATGTCTTGGAACGTATAAAACCTCACTTGCTGCTTATTTGGTAAGTGTATTTGGAGGCATTTTACACTAGAGGTCATTTTGGTCATTAGGAATTTGAATACTTTGCATAATGCTTTTGGAGCACAAACCCATCTTCCATCTATGAACTATTCTACTTCGTCATAATTAGGACCTTGACGAACTTCTAGTGCAACACGGTCAGGCCCTTTATAAACATATTTGTATAAATACTTCACACTTGTAACACTACTACAAATTTCAAGATTGATATGACAATCATATTTCAAGAGCAACCATGGGTTGTATGGAATGACCCAACTATTATCCACCAAGATGCTTGGATTACTCTCTACAGGAACTGACTCCCCTTCTCTTCTTCGATAAATAGGATGTGAATCGTTTCCAAGTGTAGTAATTGAAGAAAATGGCTTTGGGAAACGTCTTTTGCACCGACCATTTGTCATACACGGGGACCGTTCATTGTACATTCCACATGGGCCATGTATCATGTGTTTCAGAACTGCACTGTATAATCTAGGCTCTAATCTCTTGTCTGGAATTTCAGCTCTGACAATGTTATCATAATCATCAGGAGTGCGTAACTTATCATTTTCATCCAAAATAATGACCATGTGGGCATGTGGTAAGCCTCTTTTCTGGTACTCAATAACATATGCATATGCGAGAACCTTCCCGAGCACATGTTTTGTAAGAATGTCGGTCTTCATCTCATCAAATTTTGAATGAAATATTCTTGTTAGCAAATCAGGACGATCATGTGGTGACTGGCTAGGTAGCAACTCAGCTTTAATTTCAGGCCAATTTGGATTGCAGGTCATCGTAAGGAAAAGATCAGGTTTTCCATACTTTTGGACCAGAGCCATTGCATCTTGATATCGCTGATACATGTCTCGTGGGCTACCAACAAATGACAATGGCAATATTGTTCTACGACCAACATTACCTAAACAAATATTTCACAAAAGGAAAAAAGAAATTGTATGTATGAATATAAACAAACATGCGTACATGTAATTGTAATATTGTACGTGACAATTTGTACCTCCAGAATTTTCACCAGCATGTATTGCATCTAGAAGACCTTGATAAAAATCTACTCGAATGTGATTCTGATGAGTACGTATCCATCTTAATTTGTTGGACTCAATCTTCACGTAATTATCTACAACATACTGCTGTAAGAGACGACCTCCTCGAAGAAAAAGAGATTGATCACCAGGGCGAATCTGAATTGATAGTATTTCAATACTTATAAATAATTAAAAGTAAAGATTTTATACGAAATAATTATAGATTGAATAACTTCGACGAAGTAATTTTTTAATATTATGTATACGTCGTTACCTGTAGCATATAAGAATAGAAATCACAACATGTTACTTTTCTGCCATCATTGCTTTTGGTATTTACATCCCATCCATATGAACCGTAGGGTAACAACAGAGGATACTGTAATGGATCATAGTATCTGACAATATCATAAATATTTAGGAGGTGACCACTGGTTGATTGGACAATGATATCTCTTGGTTTTAAATTTCCAGCTTCTTCGCCACCTACTAAAACTGCAGCAACTTCAGGAGCAGTATGAAGGCTGTATTGGGGCCTATTACGTGGTTGCTCTTTGATTTGAAGTCTGCATTCATGTATGTCTGGACGCTGAGCCAATTGGCGGAACGTGTGTACAAATGGATTATGAGTATTTAAAATATTCTTTATCTTGTCAAGCAAATCCAAGTGCAATTCTTCATTTTCAGACATTCGATTCTCATTCTCGTGGTCAGTGTCATAAACATACAGTTGCAAATATCTCGGTCCGTCGCTAGAATTTGGTAAGAGACTCCCAATCTTATGATATATGTCTCCTTGTGCACGAAACGTGTACACACCTTGAGTTCTTGTTGCTAAGTTTTCATCAACATGAACACCCATTGAAGTGAATGAGAAAACATGATTGTAGGCTCGAATATTTTATCTGAAATGACGACCTTCCACTGTTTGGTCAGAGAAAATATCAATTATCTCATTTGGAGCCGTTACTGGTGGCAAAATAATTGTTCCATTATTACAACACATGGTAGATGTTTCACGGTGGAACAATCTTGCGTTGCAATGTCTACATGTAGTTGGAGCAGGGAACTGCATTCTTTGGAACCTTTCACTTTCATGAAAATTTCTTGCACAATTATGATAGCTCCTATGGATAAATGATCGATTATCTGGAATATCTTCATCACTGAAAGCATCCTGGTTGTGGTCGACGTGAGGGATATTTCCTATAACAATACATGTATGATGTATGGGTTTATTATTAACACAGTAGTATTTATTTGAAAGTGTTTGAGTTTCATGTTGAATATTAAATGTAATTGTACTGCATATCATATTTACATGATCATATTTTTTACATTTATTGTAAAGGTTGTTTATTTTGTAAAAGTACTTAAACTAAATAAATTATTTGTACCTTCTATCTGAACTTCGCGAAGATCTTGTCTGTTGCCACTTGTGCTTCCATGCTCATACGTTGAATGAGTAGGTGCATATCGGGGTAAGTCGATACGTGCGAGTGCAGTCATTCTACTTTCCCGTCTAAAAACATTAGTCGCAACCAAATTGCCTTCTTCGTGAATGGTTGGCAAAACTGTTGCTCGCGGCCTACGCCATCCTGTTCTATTTCTTCTTGGGATTGCATCGAAAAAGTTTAACATGCATCCTAGCAGTTAAAATTATAAATAATAAATTAAATGAATATTAATGTAAAATTTGGAAGTGTAAAAGCTTTTTTTTTTAAAAACAAAAAACATTTACAAAATTTGAATACTTACTACTTGTTTGTGCATTCGTCATATTATGTACTTGATTTGGATGAGAAGTTTGTTCGATATTTTCAGATATTTGCCTTCTTTGTCGATAATTTGTTCGTCGCCTTGCAAGTTGTTGTTC